TTTTCGCAAACGGTTTGTGACTGTTTAAATTATAGTTCATGTTGTAATATATGCCAAATATGTAAGATATAGGAATTAAACTTTTAAAAGGACTACAATATCACGCAAAAGATATGTCATGTATTTGCTTATACATTGCGATTATTCATTGCAAAAATGCACAATGTGATACAATGTAACAAATAGTCAAACTTTGTCGCTTGTTTCGCTTTTTCGTATTGTTATACGTTGTTGCATTTTAAGGTTGTTGGATTTTCGCTTTGTTTATTTTCTAGTTCCGGTTGTACAAATTCATGCGCCTGGCATCAGTAACAGTGGAGAGTGCTTCCAAAATGTGCTTACAAAAATATTTGTTTAATCTTTTTTAACAGTATTTAACCAACTTACTCGTTTGATTTAACTCAAATATTTCTCTTAGTGGTACATGGCATAGTTGCAATAAATCAGTACATTCATAATTGTTTAAGGATGTGGAAAAAAGCAACGCTGCGAAAAGGCAACAATGCAAAACAATGAGAAAAAAAAATCAAAATTGTCAAATGAATAAAAAAAAACGAAAATGAGAAAATTTGCTAAAATATTTATAAAGAATGATATAAATGAATTGGTCATTACATCTTTTCAGCTATAATATCATCTTGAAATTGTTCTATTGTTGTTTGTGGGGATGTTTTAGTGCCGTGCATTTTATTTCTTTTTCATTATTGTATTAGTGGTATTGTATTAATATTTTACATACCGTACCATTTGTGCATTACAATATTTTGACACTACGCCAGGTTTCATCTTTGGATCAAAGGAAACATGTTACAATAACGACAATATTGGCTGCTTTAGCAATGCCAGACCTTATAACAATGCTCATGGAAAACTGCCTGAGTCACCGGAACATATGCAAGTACGTCATACTGATTTCTTGACGTCTAATGATTGTCAGAAACCCATAGTTTTTAATTCTTTAGAAATGCCAAACATGTGTTTGTTAATGGAATTTGTTTATCAACGTTTTAATTATTGATTAATTAAGAGCATATTACATGTGCAGCAACTGAGAAAAGTAGCGCTGAAAATGCAGTCATGTGTCGTAAAGGTAGCAAAAATGAAGCAAAGTAGTATTAAGACTTTCATACAAAATACTAAATTAATTATTATAATTATACCATTTGCCAACAATGCAACAGAGGCAAAAGATAGTTCATCTGTATGGCAAATGAGTAATTTTCGGACACTGTAACAATATACCAAAATTAAGTTTTTGAGATATAAAAAGCATAGCATTTCTGAGACAGAAAATGCCTTAAAATTATGTGTGTTACCATCGTAATTGACTAAGCTGTATCAATACTTTAATTAGATGTGAAATCTCTTTCTGACCTAATAACATTAGGCTCTTGAAGAGAACGTAGTTGTGACCATATTAACGATAAAACCCGTGTTAGCTGGTCGGAGCTGTAAAGACTTTTCCCAACAGACCCTACATATCTATTTAGACTTATTTTGAAGAACTTGAAGAAACATAAATGAAATTGAATATTAAGAGGTCCTTAATAAAATTAGAATTAGAACAAATGAACTAAAATGTGTTGTCATTGTCTTACTTTCAATGTCATTTTAAATACTTTACTTACTTGGCGGTGCTTTAACATTTATATGTTATCATTTGATAAGTCGGTCGAATTCATTGCATAAAAACTTGGTTATCTTAAGAGCATATTACATGTTTAGCAACTGAGAAAAGTAGCGCTGAAAATGCAGTCATGTGTCGTAAAGGTAGCAAAAATGAAGTAAAGTAGTATTTAGACTTTCATACAAAATACTAAATTAATTATTATAATTATACCATTTGTCAACAAAGCAACAGAGGCAAAAGATAGTTCATCTGTATAGCAAATGAGTAATTTTCGGACACTGTAACAATATACCAAAATTAAGTTTTTGAGATATAAAAAGCATAGCATTTCTGAGACAGAAAATGCCTTAAAATTATGTGTGTTACCATTGTAATTGACTAAGCTGTATCCATACTTTAATTAGATGTGAAATCTCTTTCTGACCTAATAACATTAGGCTCTTGAAGAGAACGTAGTTGTGACCATATTAACGATCAAACCCGTGTTAGCTGGTCGGAGCTGTAAAGACTTTTCCTAACAGACCCTACATATCTATTTAGACTTATTTTGAAGAACTTGAAGAAACATAAATGAAATTGAATATTAAGAGGTCCTTAATAAAATTAGAAATTAGAACAAAATAAACTAAAATGTGTTGTCATTGTCTTACTTTCAATGTCATTTTAAATACTTTACTTACTTGGCCGGTGCTTTAACATTTATATGTTATCATTTGATAAGTCGGTCGAATTCATTGCATAAAAACTTTGGTTATCTTAACTTCCTTGACCTTAATGATTTCAGAATTTGAAAGAATGGATTTTTTCGCACCGAACGTCCTAAACAAACTTGTTACTCATTTGGGCTAAGATTTGATTTTATAATCAATTGACTGAATTATTTGACTGAATTATTTGGCTGAATTTTTATAAGTAATGTTATGTCAAAAGGGTAAATATTTGTAATTAAAGTATGTATAAAAATGTTTTCTTTTGCTGCTACAACGCCAGGACGCTGGTCTAACAATATTAAGTAGATTGCTCAAGGTTCCGTACGATCGACCCGCTACGACGTAAAACGCCAAGTGGTGCTCAAATTTTAAAAACCGTAGTATTTTTCTTCAATGTTTAAGTTTTCAGACTTGTAAAGATGGTTTCGAAAAGTCATTGGATAAGCTTGCTTGTCAGTCAGTATAGAAAATATGATAATATAGAAAGTAGTTACCGCGGGTATTTCGATTTCGCCGCATGTGCAGTGTGGGGAAGGGGTAATATATTTATGAAAATATCATGATTAAGCGAGCAACATCCAAAGCGTAACCGAGTATGTAATATATATGGGTTTGTCTATGGCCAGTGGGATACAAGTATTTCTATAAATTATATTTTTGTTCTGTTCTGTTCTATTTTATCCCGGAATATGTATTGAAAATATCAAGTTAACGAAAAAAATCATGTTGTACACCACACCACGGCTTAATTGTAACTAAAACCGTGTACAAACTAAATACATACCATGTATACATTATAGGTGGAATTTCTGTTATACACGAGGGCAAACAGAAACACGCCCCAGATTGTCACAAAAGATGCCGCATCAATCCACGGTTCTCACTTTAGTGGAACAAAAAACACAAAGTTCATAGTTCACGGCTATCAAGATGACGGTCGTGGACCTTGGCTGAAGAAGATGGCAGGCGCTTTTCTCACGAAGGTATTTGTGTATTTATGTATTGTATCATATATACATGTACATGTATGTTGTATCATTTATATACTCGTATGTATAGTAACATTTATGTATTGTATCATAATTACATTATATTGTATCATTTATATATTGTTTGTTTTGTATCATCTCTGTATTGCATCATTAATGTATTGCATTATTACACATGAATTGTCTGAACATTCAAACTAAGTACTGTGATTTTTTCACATTAAAAGGGTAAAATTAGGAAGAATAGTGCACGCAATACCATTGCATGCTGGGAAAATTGTCGTCTGCTAAAAATGTGCCGTCTGCTTACTTATTTTTTCAAAAGTTTTCTTAAAAATAAAGTTACTGTTTTCTTTTTGCGCAACCTCTTACAAAATTACGTCATAGAGTCACATTAGGCTTTGCTTTACTCATACTTTAACAGGGGGATATGAACGTGTTTGCGGTAAACTGGGCCAAAGGGGCGGACAATATAAACTATGCACAAGCAGCAGCCAACACCCGGGTTGTCGGTGCACTCATTGCGCAATTCATTACGAGTCTGCACACGAATACGCATGCGTCATATGAGACATTTCATCTGATTGGTCATAGCCTTGGGTCGCACATTTCCGGTTATGCTGGGGAGAGAATACATAAAATCGGTCATATCACTGGTAATAAGTTAATTTCTTTTGTTTGTTCCAAATTATTCTCATCAATATTGTATATAATGTATTAAACCCATTGCTACCCACGATACATCGTAAGGAAAATGATAATAAATGCATGTATTTCCACTTTACTTAGTCTTTCTCGTGGATGTCATCATTCTTCTCCGATATAGATCTACTCGTATGTAGTATTATATCGGTGGTCATTCTGCAACTCTTTGTAAACATTCGGAGTAGTACTAGAACTATTTAAAAGAGAATATTCTTGACTGTGTCGTTTTTGATGTTTTTCACCAAATCGATTATGTCTTAAATCAATAGTTACATAAACCTGTAAGACACTCGAGTCTTTTCACTGTAAAAAGTTCTGATGTTGCTTGGAATGAATGTTCCTTTCACTAGAAATTTGAATGGACTGACCAAAGTAATCATTGAAAATGAACTAAAAGCTACGCTTGAACATATTAGTGCTTGTCACGAAAGTAAGTCCTTTATCTACGTAGAAAGACATTCTCTCTGTTATGATATTTTAAACATATAAAATTTAAATCATTTAAATGAAAGGACTTGACCCAGCTGGGCCATTGTTTGAGAAACAAGACATCCGAGTAAGACTGGATCCAAGTGACGCCATGTTTGTTGACGCTATCCACACTGATGGAGACTCTCTACTGGAACTAGGTAATTTTACGTACTGCATGATGTCATAAACGTTTGTCCCGCTGGATTATGCTAGAATGAATACTTTCACAAAATGACTATCATTCTTATGTTCTATTTGATATTTATCCTGAATCAGTGGCTTTATACTACAGACATTGATGAATAGCAAGTGTAATATTGTATTCATTTTCTTAGCTTGTCTAAGGATTTCTACTGTCAAATTTACATATGTTGACTGACTTCTTAAAGAGAAATATATTTTTCTTATCACTATTTCAAATGTATATATACTTTTTAGGTTTTATAACACTGGTTTTCCCTTCTAAGATGAAAAATTCCCCAATTATTTTTCCGGACACATACATTTAATTATTTTACCCATATATAACCAATATATATACAATGAACATGCATGGTCTACAAGTTTAAATGGAAAGACGGTATTTCTAAGACATGATAAAGTGCTTGCGGCTTGAATTTAAGGTTGTTTCAAAATGTCTATCAGAAGTAAAACCCCTTTCAGATTTGTAATTTAAATACTTTATCGCAGAGTAACTTAATTAGGTGCGTGTACGTTTTTAAATAGATCATCACCAACGAGCATATCTTTTATATTCATTGATTAATGTTCCATTTGAGATACTGCCATCTTAATTTGCCATTTTAAATTCAAACGATACTACTCAAAATTACTACTCCATACCCCCAGAGAAATTTATCAAAATTGGATAATAAATAATCACAGGTTTCGGGCTTGAGAAACCTATTGCCCACGCCGACTTCTACCCAAATGGTGGAGAAAAACAGCCTGGTTGCGTACACGAGGTCGGTAAACATCTTTTCAGTCTTATCACCGGCAAGATTGAAGGTAAAAATGATATTTTTTTTAGTTTCTTATTTACATGTTTATGCTTTAAAGCTGTGTGGTATTCTGAGTTCACTTCTGCGTGGTATTCTGTGTTCACTTCTGTATCTTAAGTTCGAAACATTAAGATAAAATGTAAAGGGCAAAAAAAAAATTAAAAATACCTACAATGATTACGGTGATGAAAATGATAATAATGATGTTGTTGACGATGAGGATGTCGATGATGATTATGATGATGATGATAATGATGATGATGATGATGATGATATTATCATTCTTGATTCTGATGATGATGTTAGCCGTAGTGATGGTGTTTGAGGAGGTGATGATAATGATAATGAGGAGAGGTTGATGATCTTGACAATGGTACTGATGTTCAAATTCAGGTGCTGACAAAACTTGAGGCCCTAATTAAGGTTAGAGATGTTCGATTATAATTAACATGTAGGATTTGTTTAATTTAATAGGATACCGAGGCTTTAAAGCTGGCCACTTTGTGGTACCGAACAACATCAGTGCCTTCAGTGCTTTGATTACAAATTATAATCATGTGTTTGCAGTATTTTAATATTTTTATAACAGGATAATAAATTAACATGCATGATTTATCTAATGAAATAGGGTACTGGGGCTCTAAAACTGTGCTACCGAATGCTAATTATGCTGTTTACGTATGCAGTAATTTATTACAGGATTCACTGACAGAGTTGCCTGCAGTCACATGAGAGTTTTAGATCTATATATAGAGTCTATCAACTCTCATTGTCACTTCCGGTCGTATCCATGCGCGAACAAGAATGATTTCAATGGCGGAAAATGCACTTCTTGTGGACACGGATGCGCTGATATGGGCGTCACCGCACCCAGAGGACATCCGCATGGCACATTTTACCTCACAACGAATGCAGCATCCCCTTTTTGCCAACATTAATTTTTTTTTAATTTGCGTCATTATCTTAAGAAAACATGTAAAATAAATAATAGAAATTATCACTTATCTGAAGTTTTTTATTACTTTCTTATAAGCGTACGTATATGAGCCCTCTTTCTTCCGTTTTCAATCTATTTTATGATCATCTGGACACGTTTCACATATAATTAATGATAATAATATCAAAATTACAAGCATACATGTACTTCCAAGGCGTACTTTTTTCCTTTAAAAAATGCAGGAGAAAGAATCTATCTAAACGCAGGTATTACGTTTAAATATCGAAGCGCCCGACAATGAGGGCAATCTATCACATTTATGATATGGGCAAATAAAAAATATTACGACAACAGTAGTCGGAAAAAACTACATTCAGGATAAAGTTATTACATGTAGTTGCAAAAATGACTGCGTTTTCTCTCAAAGTATCAACCCTGTAATACAAACAAAAACAAACATTCTAATAAATCAAATCTTAATTGACATGTACATAATCAGCACAAATGCATTAAATCAAACAGGACGTGCATGTTATAGCCGTTTTATGCGTTGCTGACGTTGCCGTTTTAACGCTCTCCATGTCGATACGTCAATCATCGGTCAAGAAAAGCGGAGACCTTTCTATAATTTCTTCATTTAAAATGCCCCGCGGGCGACAATTTAAAATGAAATTTTCGAATTTGTAACCTCGAAGGATATTTCCCTAATGTATGTTGTGCATACATATGATTTTTGGATTAGCTTTCTGTGAAAGGATACTTAAAGCGTTTAAGGTAGGTTTCACGTTTTGATTTACAATTTTTACTGACATACATTCGATAATGCAAAAATTATATCACAATACGCACCATAATACGGAAAAAGGCAGGATAGGTGTGACCTTGTGCTTTAGGCGTCCGCTTCCTAATGCCGGGATGGTTGGTTCGAACTCTACTGGTTAACGGCCATGTCTCTTCGAACAGTATCTGTATTGGTAAGGTTCAGGTAGGAATCGGACTTGAGAGTGTTTCAATTGAACCTATAACTTTTATTACAATTACATAACTAAATATGTTCGAAATAATACTGAAAACTACCTGGCAAAGTTTTTAACATGCTAAGAATTTAACCAGAAACGTCAACAACAACAACAACAACAACAAAAAAAAAACAACAACAACATTACAATATTTACTTTTTTATTGAAGTTAAATTGTATAACTATAATCTTCAACATAACAAAAATCTTGCGAACAATTAAAAAACAAACTTTATACATTGATGTCTTTATGTCTTTATTTAGATCTATTTAGCATCTAAATCTTCTTCTTATAAGCTCTCGGTATTTTCTAAGAGCCTGTTCGACATTCCTGTTAGACCTCCGGTTTAACTGTCACTTCAAACAGTAATTGAGCCGCGTCATGACAAAACCAACATAATGGGTTTGCGACCAGCATGGATCCAGACCAGCCTGCAAATCCGCGCAGTCTGATCAGGATCCATTTTGTTCGCTATCAGTTTCTCTACTTGTTATAGGGTTTGTAAGCGATCAGCATGGATCCTGATCAGACTGCGCGGATGCTGGTTTTGTCGTGACACGGCTCAATTATTTCGCACGGCTCACTCGTCGTCACTCGACAATTCCTCGTTGTCACTATCTATTCCGGCATTAAGTTTTCTTCTTAGTTTGAGAATATCCGATTTCTTCATTTTAGCATAGCTACAGTATGCTGTCAGAATGCCTTCTATGATCAACATCCGGTTGCGCAGTGAGTACCGGAAGAGTTTGTTGTTGTTGTCTTTCGCAGACATATAGCGTTTACTAATTTCATCTAATTTTCCATTCAGTTGAAGTATTTGATCACATGCTCGCTGAAACCGAACCAATTCCACATTATGTTGATGATACATTGCTAACTTCATCTCCATATTGGATTTATAATTAGATGGTTTTATAATCAAAATGTTGTTGTGGTCTTTTTACAAGAGCTAGATAACAAATTGACTGAAAGTATGTTAATGAATGTACAAAACATATTAGTTCCTTTTATATCTGAACAAATGTATCATTACGTTAAGACTCAATTAACTCATAACTGACACCCCTTCGTTTCTTAACCGATTATAGGTGCAAAGAAATACGAATAGGCACGCGTAAGTTTCCCGGTAAGCTGTGAAAAATACGATTAAATCAAATTGAAGCGGATTGCTGTCTTTCACAGCTTGCTTCCTTAACTTTGTCAAAGAAAGATGTTGATCAATTTTTTTATATTTAGAAAAACCTAATTTTATATCTTTATTCTGCTTAAGGTTCTATAGGGCATGGACGGTAATTTGCACTTTCCAGTACCGTCCATGAACAGACTCAATCAAACCGAGCCTGCAACAATTTCAATTTTGTTGTTTTTGGGCTATTTTTTTTTTTTTGGGGGGGGGGGGGGGGGGAGTCTATTTTACCTTGATTTATGTTTCTCGTATTAAGATGTTTTATTATTTTTTATTCAGATAATTATTCATTGCATAATATTTGCTAATTGTTTATGAAAAAAGGGAAAAAGGTATATAAAAATCACGACAGTTGGACAATGTAATACATCAAGGGTAATCAAATATGCCCACAAACATGTCAAGATTCGTTGTTTGTCTAATTAAAGCTAATAATCATCATAACATAATTCATGGTACTAAAAGTGTATTCCCGGTATTGTTTTGTTTATGCTGATACATAAATACATTTAAGTACGCGCATAGGCAAAGGACACGTCTTAAGGTAAACACATGATTTTTATGTTTCTTCTTCTTCTTCTTCTTTATGTTCTTAATCTTCTTCTTCTTCAATGAAAGTCATTTATAGTGTAATAGTTTCTTTTAAAACAGAGAAGTTGTTTTAATTTTTCTCCATTTTGTGCTGAATAATGAATTTTTAACACACGCATGAATATTACGTTTAACACACGCATGAAAATTATGTTCATTGTTTCAAGCACCAATAACTGCGTATTATTTGTGTACTTTAAATACACATAAATATACCTTAAATTTCAATCATGGTTGCATTTAAAGGGTATTTATCCGAACTGGACTGTCCGTAATGCTTACATCTTGATAGTAAGAAAATCTATGTGATAGTAAAATGGTGGTATTATAATTCGCAATTTCAGCTTTACATCATTTGAAATAATGTTAATAAATTCATTTACTTTATTTAATTTATCTATATTATTTAATTGCTGTTTGCTAAATTCTTTTCAATGTTCTTTTAAATTTTCGATTTTTTTTACTATTTACTAAAATAGTTGAATTTCATTGAAGTATTTTTAAATACTTAACCATTCTTATGTATTTGATCAGTCTTATGCATTGTACTCAAACCTTAAAAATAGAAACAAGGTTTACTTCAAATATGAGATAAATTTTATCGATGAGGTAAAGATGTTACTATGAGGTAAAGGTTATACGTAAGGTAAACGCCACACATAAGATAATTGTCACTCGAGAGGTCATATTACGAGGTAAAGTAATATATGTGATTATTCACATATGAGATAAGGTCATTTATGAGGTCAAGGTTATATTTAAAGTTTAATTCATGCATGAGATAAATGTCCCGTGGGGTGTGATCATTTATACGTTAAAGAACGTGATATGTCTGTTAAATTAAAATTACATAATGAGGTGAAGGTAATTTCACGAGGTAAAGGTCATAGGATTGGGTAAAGAATTAAGCATGAGGTAAATGGCATTCCGTAAGTTCATATCAAAATGTAAAGGTCATAGTATGAGGAAAATATCATAGCATGAGGTAAAGGTCATAGCAAAGGTTAAATGTCATAGCAATTGGTTAATATCATAGCATGAGATAAAGGTCATAGCATTAGATAAGTAATAGAAAGAGCACCAAAACACGAGGCTATCTGATTTGTACGAGGGGGCGTAGCCCCCGAGTATTAATCAGATTGCCGAGTGTTTTGGTGTTCTTTCTCTTTTGTATCATAGTCAAGCATAAAAGCACGTTCCCTGTTGTCACAATATGAAACCCCGGCAAAAATGAACCAATGAACGAACATCTGAATATGACATTTCTGTCGCTTTCCCTTCCTTCCTCTGCCGTCACAATATGTAAACCCCAGGAAAAATGAGCCAATCAATGGGCATGCTCTGGAGTGCGGGTAACTAATACCCGCACTCCAGTTAACGCACTGTGCATGTATATGTATACGATTTAACCCTGACACATTTTCAACAGAAAGGTCTCCAAACTATGATACAAATATGGTACAAGCTACACTGTGTCTATTTAGTATTCAGACTTTTATTACCATAGCGCGACACGAATGACCGTTTCGTCAAACTAAAACTTCTTCTAAA